ACACCCACACCCACATCCGCACCCGCACTCACACCCATACCCGCATTCTGTGCAGCGAAGCTTTTATATGACAAACAAGTCTTTCTTGGTGCCTTTTTTAGTGCAATCTTGGTCGCTACCTGAAGCTTTTGGCTGTTCTTAGATCAATATTTTGATGGTAGAAAAATATAAATAATATGCATACATCAAGCAATAGATGTACGTGCTTAGCATTTTTAATAAATAGAAGCAACTAGACGTGTTTTATTCAGTTTCTTTTAATAGTGTTGTTTTTTATGCGCAATTCGCTCGACAGAGTTGTTGTGTCTTGGTAAAAGTATTTGAATATTAGAGAGGTTGTTTTTCATTCGAGAGAATACTTCTTTTTTGCATTTGACTAATTTGGCCTTTCATCAAACAAGTGATGCATAATCTTGTGCTATTGATCGATCGTATCACATTCTCTCAATCTATCTTTCTGAATTTCTCAAAGAAATCACACTAAGATCAAAGTATTACATGCGAATGTCAAGATATAAATCATAGTTTTGGTTATACATGTCCAAATTGTTTCATTGAAAGTGATTCTTATTCTTTTTTCATGTGTTTGATGCATTTCCGAGGTGAATAATAGAATAGAAACGGTTTTACGACAAATAGCTCGATATTGATTAAAGCCACTTGTGTCAAATCGAAAATGCGAATTCAAATATTTACAAGTTCGACGTATCGTTATTTGGTAATGCATTTACTGATAGATAAATAATTGAATAAAGACTTCGAACTTGAGACAAAACTGTTCCAACTGATGAGAGAATATTTTTCGATGTCCGAGCATTTTTCAGTTGAAACTTAGTACATATTACAGTTCTTAGTGAGTTGTGTCTACCATAAAAATAATTCGTGTCCATAGCATATTTCTGGAGAGCTCGAACATCTTTACTATTACAGTTATAAGAATCTTCTTATCACACTGCGATTTTTTAAAATTCTATTTCATAGACAACCGACTTTAAATGAGCTAAAGCGCTTTCAAATTTTTACAACACTTTAAAACAATTTGCATATTTCATGCATTGCTGCATATGATCCTCTCTCTGGTCAAGGGAATAAATTATCCAATTTCTAGTCATTTTTGCCAAGATATTGGATACATCAGTATCACTTGAGGGTGTGGGTGTGGATTTGGGTGCCGATGTAGGTCTTCAGCTCAACCACACCCACACACCCACACCCAGCCACACCCACACCCACACCCACACCCACACCCACCCACCCACACCCACCCACACCCACCCACACCCACACCCACACCCAACCCACACCCACACCCACACCCACACCCACACCCACACCCACCCACATCGAACATCGAACAGCACATACGGCAGCAAAATCTTCTGACAGATAAAGCAAGCGTTGTCAATGAGACTTTGTGAAACTATGCAACTTGACGATCGAGATTCGTTTGTTGGACATTTTGTATCAATTCGTTGCCTTGTTTAATTTTTGTCTGAAGAGAATTCGTGTCGATCACGTGACATTAGACTTTTTTAGGAAGCATCTAGTCGCTACTAATTGATTTCGTTCTTGTTACAGTCAACAACACGCTATACCTCGACGTCTCTCTCTTTCTTTTGATGAGTACCATTTCGTTCACTTCTGTCTGATCTACATATTGTCTCTCTCTGGTTTCTTTGATTGCTTCTTGTTCGTTATTGTTCGGCATCTGTATATAGCTTCTACAGTTGGCATAAGAAAGGTTACTCGTTTAACTGTTGTCCTGTCTGGTGCTTTTCGATCTATTTAATTTTGAAAGCTCGTTTCGGTAATAGTGTTGTAGGATATACAATGGAATTTTTATCAATTGGGCATTGTATCCATTGATCGATTATTTGTAGGAATCATTGCTACGTGCTAATTAATATTGTCCATCAAGTCATCATTATAAGACGGGCTTTTGTGAAACGTATCAAGGAAAAATTTAGTGTAAAGTAATAGCATGCTGATCGATTTCGTCTTTTTTGTTCTCTTATTACCTTTCGTCGTGTTTGGATGTGGTATTACAACGCACATCGAAATTTCACATCGTGCTCAAGAACTTTGGCTACATCAGCCTGTTTATCAAGAATATGTTCTCCAGCATCAAGATGCATTGCCAGGAGGATCTTTATACTCTGATGTTATGTACAATAGTTTGTGTTACAACGGTAGCTTATATCAAGTGGCTGAAGATACTCATTGGTAAGGAGAATCAATCCTTTCATTTTCATGATAGTTATCGTCTTGTTCACAATTCAGGTATCCATTTATGAAAGTTGCCATTGAATATATGCGTGATCGACATCCACCACCGCTACAACCCGATAATGTCAATGGACAAAAGTTACTTATATTCCTACTCGGTGTAGCCTCTCATCAAATAGCTGATGCTGTGTGGCATGGAAATTTAACAGGCTGTCCAAATGGATTTATCGATGCAACAGCCTGGGAGAGTTTTAATGGTAGTCGAGAAATGGCACATGCAAGTGATGATACAGGTGGAGATAGTGTTGTTAATTACGAGTTAGCGGTCGGTTATATCGGTAGAAGACCGAAAAACTAATGTTTTTTTTTTCTAAAAATGATCTCTTTCTGGTTCATAGGGCTTATCAATAACTGGTTCGTTCCAAGCAACGAACTTGAAGAGATCTATGCGCGATATGCTGTTGCCTATAACTCATCACTTGAAAAAGATGCTACTGCGACACGTATTCAGACCTGTTGCGATGTTCTTGCCGCTGAACGATTTGCTGATGTTCTTTTTCTTCTCGGCCTTCAATATCCTACATACTCACGCGATAATAGTTTTCTACTCGATCAACTGCACGAATACTACTACGGTGGTTTACCAAATATGGTTCAGTTGACAGTCCGATATTGGGATCAGATTATTGCAATGTACGAACATGGGACAAATATTTGTACATTGACCGGTATTAATCCATACCATCTGAATTGTACCATTCCTCTCAATATTACACATCAACAACAGCAAGAATTGACATCGTATGTTCGATCAGCGCCTTCAGGCTATTTATCCTCTTTAAACAATTCTTTATCATTGTTGTCGATATTTGCCAACACCGAAATTCCGACTGGACTCATTTCAAATCAAAGTTATGCCGCATTTGGTCATGCAACACTCTTTGGTGATTTTAACGGTGATGGACTTACCGATCTTGTCGTGTCAGCACCCGATTATTATGTACTCGGATGTGTACAAGGTGGTCGAGTGTTCATTATCTATGGTCAAGTGAATCGTTCTCTCGTACTCGAGCGTCAAATTGCGATTATTGAAGAACTTGCCGATCAAACACTTATTTCACCAAAATGTGATGGCGATCGATTCGGTTCAGCATTGGCTCACATTGATTGGAACAACGATGGATTTGACGATCTGGTTGTTAGCAGTCCATCGCATGGATTCGGTTTTCAGGGAGCAGTGTTTGTGTTTGCCGGTGGTACCCAAGGTCTTCAGCCTCAACCATATATGCGTATTTATGGAATGAATGAACATGATGCGATCGGATTCGAACTGCATACGGCACATCTCGATAATGATAATCAACTTGATTTGATCATTACTAGTCCGTATGCTCAACCGAACGGTTATAATCAACCACAACAAGGAGCTATCTGGATTTTCCTGAGCTCTGACCATCATATATTGGATGATGAACTCACTGTTGCCAATGCATCGTTCAGCATTTGGGGTGAAACACCGAAATCAAAATTTGGTTATTCACTTGAAATAATTCCACCATCGTGTATCGATAATGTTACCTATCCAGCTGTCATGATCAGCGCACCAGCCGACAATGGTAAACTGTTCGTGTACTCGTTTGAACCTGAACCCCGTCTCATTCTTACTCTCTCGGGTACGCAAGAAAAGGATCATTTTGGACAGAGTTTTTCGATTTATAAAGACAGATGTTGGCTCGCTGTCGGATCACCGACTCGTTTGATCAACTGGTACGGTGGTGTTGATGTTCTTTTACTATCCAATCTTTTCCGTCAATCAACGATTGATCTTCAATTAAGTGATATTCCTGTGCTTGTCTCAATTTATGGTGATATGATCTTTGAACGTCTTGGTACAACAATTCAGTGGACACCCCGCGGTGATTTATGCATATCGGCTCCGCTCGGCAAGAGAAACGATCTTCCATTGCAGTTAGAAAAGTCCATAGGTCGTGCGTACAATGTATCCGCTGATCAAATTCCAACACAACCCGATCGAGTGGCGCGATCGATTGTAAGTATAAGTTCGACGATTTACGTCGCTCAAAACCATATGAACCGATTCGGTAGTCGTACTAACATGCTTTCTTCAACATCCGCCTCTTACTATGTCATTTCATCGCCGTTTACGACCGTATCCGACAATGTTCGTCTGCCGGGCATGTTATATTTTTTATCGTTATGAAACTAATTTTTAGTTTTAAAAAGCCGATCTGAACACAATAAGGGTTCATCTTTCTAAATAAAACATACTATAAATGTTTCTCTTGTACAAAGCAGCAGTCGTCGATGCTGATAGTAAGAATTATGTCAGAGATACTTGAGTTCCTTATAAAAAGCTTAAAGAAACTCTTTCTCTATATAAGCTGATAGTAAGCAAAAACGATGCTCTATTTTTCTGTGCTATTACATCATTCCTCAATTAATATCATAGTCTATTTTAAAAAAAGACAGATGTAAATATATTTTCAATAACTTTTGATAGAAATAACGTAGAGAGCTATGGCTTTCATCATTCGAAAGAGAAGACAAAGATGTATCGAATCACATATTATGCATTTTTCTAGTATGTAGATTAAAGTTTGTTTAGTCAATTTTCTAAGTGTGGAAAAAAATGTTTTTTTTAATCAAAAAGAAAATTTTTTTTCACATAAATGGCTAGAAAAATCATTTAGAACTTCGACTAGAATGCTTAGAACCCCTGAATAATTAATTCTAAACATCTGAAAATTGTGCAGTATTGTAGACCTTCCATTAGCAAGTTTAAAGCACCCGTAACAATTGAAAATTTGCTGTGAACACCTCATGAGGTAGATTTATTTTCAAACAGATCAATTGAAAACCTTAGAAAAAATCTTGTCAGAAAAAAACCGCATAATTCACGATTCGATGCATCGTTGTCTCGTCTTTCGAACGACGGAAGCCGTAGCTCCCTATCTTTTTTTCTATCAGAAGCTATTCAAAATATATTCACTCCACGTTTTTTTTCAATAGGTATCAGTATAACCGTCACGTATGATAGAAAAATAGGTGTTATCAAAATTTTATTATTATGATATTAATTGAGGAATGATGTAATAGCATAGAAAAATAGAGCGTCGTTTTTACTATCAGTCCATATTAAGAAAGAGTTTCTTTAAGCTTTTTATAAAGAATTCAAGTATCTCCGCCGTTACTGTTCGATAGTCCCAAGTATCTTGATGAATCATTCGTTTTCCAACAATATCTTGAACGTTATTAAAAGCTTTGCCAAAATGATGAACGGAAGTTAACTAAACAATAAAAGCAATACAACGATAAATCATTAAAATAGAACAGTTACCAATCGATAATTCACAATAGATGCTGCATCAGAAGCTTGATAGATATGATCTGGTGCAAGAGGGTGTGGGTGTGGATGTAGGTGTGGTTGCGGGTGTGCGTGTGGGGTGGGTGTGGGTGTGACTGGGTGGATCGGTGTGGGTCTGGGTGTGGGTCTAACATATATTAGAGTCTCACACCCGCATCCACACCCCACACCTACACCCACACCCACACCCACACCCACACCCACACCCGTACTCACACTCCACACATTGTAGCCACACTCAGACTCTAAGAATAGTGCAATCCTTCTCTTTAGTCGTGCAGTTCTCTCTCCCACCCGGACATCTATCCACCCTACTATGGTTCATTGTTCCTCTCCCGCGCACGATGCAAAACGAAGGTGTTTCTTAGTCCCATGTAACTGTTACCGATGACCTGAAAAGCAAGTAAATCAATTTTTTATGATTATACTTATCAGACTTGTGATGGGTTGATGACTGTCAGAATGATTTCTTTATTTTCCACACACTGTTTCACTGTAAGTGATCAAATTCAATAAATTATCTTGCCAACACTTCAATAGCCCATAAAAATTTAAAATAAAAACGTCTGAAAGTTGATAGTCAATACTCGTTATCGATTAATTCAGTTTCAATAGTCATAAAGAACATTTCAAACAACGAGAAATTATGCTTTACATCTTACGCACGTTATTTCTCGTAGTTGTACTTGGCTCGTTTGCTTCGGCTGTTCGAATCGGTTCGTTTAATTTACATCAATACGGTCCTAAGAAGTCATCCAATGCTACTTTGACTAATATTGTTGCTCAAATAATCAATGATTTTGACTTGGCTGTCGTTCAAGAAATTACCGATGTGAGCTTGAAAGCACCTTATATCCTTCACGAGGCGCTTAACAAGGTCTCAAGATCGGGCGCCTATACTATGACATTAAGTGAACGTGTCGGCGATTCATCGTCAAAGGAACAGTACATTTTTTTCAATAGAGAGGCAACTTCTGGCTTGCAACTTCTTAGTGCTTCGGTCTACGATGATAGTATTTATGATTATTTTGAACGAGCACCGTAAGTAATCCAGATGGATTAGGTTGTCTTGTCGAATTATTTGTCTTTGTTTTTTTTTCTAGATTCATGGCCACATATAAAATCAAACAATCGGGCAAATCTGGTGTTAAAGCGTTTACCATCATGATCAATCGTTCAGAAATGTTGTTACCTTCTATCTCGTCTATACATAAATCCAATGAAACTTATCAGTTGACATTGATGAATAGACTATGAATGTGCATTTACGACCCAATGATGCCTACCCAGAGTCGATCAATATGCGCTATGTCATCGAAGATTTTATTATTCGACATCCAGAATATTTTTCTCAAACACCGACATCTCATGCCGAAGCTCTCGAACAAAATATCGTAAATCCCACAGATCAGAATAAGCCGAGTTTGAATACACAACATCCAATTTTGATTGTCGGCGATTTCAATGCGGATTGTACATACATTTCGCTTGCACGACAAGAGCTTCTTCGGTAAGTTCGTAAACATGACGATATGAGCAAAACAATAAATCTATGTTATCTTTATAGAAATGTATTCTTTGCGGATTTCAAATGGATGATTAACAATCAAGTTAAAACAAACACTCGACAAACGTGCACATACGATCGTATTCTTGTCAACGGAAAAACTTTTGCCAATGCGATCGTACCAAAAAGCAACACAACAATAGATTTTGCTAAAACATTCGGCATGACATTGGAGAATGCACTTCAAATCAGTGATCATCTTCCCATCAAATTTGACATTAATTGGTAGAGGACATTTTGATAATGTGACACTAATATAAGAGTCGGAAATGGCTAAATAAAAAGATTTGCATATTCAGATCTCATATGATTCAGTCGACTCTGATCCCAACAAATGATTCTTTTCATGGACTAATTCTCGAAGTTGATACATGCTGTTACAGTTCGCGCTCACGAAGAGCGACGAACACAGTTATGATGTGTTTTCTTCTCTCTCTGTTTATTCTTTGAGAAAACAAATGTTCATATACGCACATGAAAAACAAGGACAAAAGTAGAAAAGAATAGAAAGGTTAATCAAGGTCAAAGAAAAACAATAGAAACGAAAATACCAAAGAAAAGAAAAAGAATAGGATCGAGGTGTATATTGCAAGAATACACTGTAACACATGCCAACATAGCCACTTATATGGAAATGACAGAATAATAGATAGAATTTTGAGATAGAACAGTGTATTTTGCTTTATGCGATTGTGAATCTTCATCAAAGATATCGACATACTTCAATACCTGGGCTTATCAATAATACTTTAAACGATCGACAAGATCAACGGTGTGGTAGCAATCAGCTCAATGTTCGATTTCCACAAGCAACATTTCGTTGCACTGAGAAATTTGTCCTTGAGTTATTTTCTTCCGAATCGTCTCAGACAGAATTCAGGTGAAACGGTTGACTTTTCAAAACACAATTGTATCATTTTGTTCAGTCTCTTTTCTAAGTACCAACGATGCAGTTGGGATTGAACGAATCGAAAAGATGAGAACCAGCAGAAACAACACTAAAGCTTTCGACAGGACCACAGAAGAAAGAGGTGATTAGGAAGATCACCAAGAACAGCAGAATAATTTTGCATTTGTTCTTCATCGATAGATCGTTGTCCTCTATTTATTGACTGATTGAAGTTGATATCCGAAGACCCGAATCTAATGCATCGAGCAGGTGGCCGGAATTTCGGCCCAGACTTTTGACTGAGTTCGAATTCCCGGTGAATTTTCGGGCTAGGCCAAAAGTCCTAAGGAAATTTCGGTCCGAGATCTCGTTGACTCCTAAAATAAAAAAATCCAATATGTTTAATTAATTGCAATATAGGGTGGGTGTGTAGGATCTGATGCGAAGGTCCGGGATATGAACATATGATGTGTGATTGCCACTACTAATGTAAAAAGGATACATACTCTAAGCATTATGTCGTTCTGTTCAGCATCACGATACCTTGCATATGACACCTGACATTGTGATTTCATCGGTTGCTAGTAAATCAAGAATAGAATCGTTTTCAGAACGATTCTAGAACACAGCATGAAGTGGACGAACAAATTTTTTAGAAATAAAACAAACTGAGTGACGACTAGAGGAGAGCGGAACCAATTCGAGTCCATCGTTATCAGCACTCATTAAGTACAATTACTAATCTCTAATGACGACAATTATTTGAACGCTTTGTGACCATAATCGAAAGTTTACATTAATTTACGCTATCTATCCTCTACAGCTAAACAAACTTCGATTGTCGTTCAATTTGACATTGGATGTTAACTTAACAAGAAAATGCAAATTGTTCCGTTCGAACAAATGATGATAGGAGAGGTCGAAACTATAAAGATTGGAAATTTTTGACAGCAGTGAGTTCAATTCATGGAAATGAAGATGGATCTTGTTTAATTCAAATTTTTTCAATTCATCTCTGATAGAACAAGTAGGGTTAAAGTCAAAGAGATTGATCCAAGTTATTTCTCACTGGATAATTTAACATGAGGTTCTACTGAAGCACTGATATAAAAAGTGCGTGATAGATTTGAATTTTTCTTCTTACGAAGGAACATTGTTAAATGAAGCGAAACCAAATGAGGAATGAAATTGTCTTTTCCTATGTAAAAAAAGCTACTAATTGGGTAAAAGCATTCTATAATCATTATTTTTTCACCAGAAATGCCGAAGCGCATTTGTGTGAGAGAGTGATTATTAGATATGAAACAAGCACATGAAATAAACTGATTCGGATCGGCACAGGAACTGAAATGTCACACCAATATTTATCTACTTGATAGTTAGAGATGAGGCTGATGATGAATGGATTCATAAGTGAAGTGACTAACAATCACATTCTCAACCAACGAACCATTCGAACAATATCATGGAAGTTTGGGTGTTGGTCTTTTCTTACCAACATCCTCATCTATGATCCCATAACAGGCTACTACATCCACCATCGATCTCACATCGACAAATATACTTGCATTCACAGATCTGCGGTGCTTCCTGTATAGGTTTTATGAGAGTGTTAGCCAGTATCTTAACATTCACACACACGTTTAATAAGTTTAAAAAAACAGAAACAATCACAAAGATTGAGATGCACTGTGTTTACTCACTGAATCACGATGCAAGGAAGATGTTAAATGCTAAAACGAAGATTGCTACAAGCAATGCTCGATTAAATATGATCGATGCTACAAGACAGAGATGCTCGATTTTTTATTAGTCTCAAGTCGTTTACCGCCATATTTTACCAGGTTATGGTAAAAATTTGATAAAAAAAAAGTTCCATAGCACAAAGATTCGACGTGATGAAGGTAGTGGAATATGAACTAGATTCTAAACATATTACATCGTAATCAAACACCAAAATAACAAGACATCAGTATAAGAATAATGATTTTATTCATTCAAAGTTAAAATTTTTCCTGCGATTTTTCATGATTACCATGGATGATTTACGAATGATATGACTACTGAGGAGAGCGGGAGAGAGATAATCGATCATAAAACTCTATCAGTATAGATCTGCAACTTGGGCATCGAATTAAATTCAGTCCTCGTAACAACTAACAAAAAATGGACTTGCACTATCTATATTCGTGTCAACATAACCTTATTAGCATACTGGCGATGACTCATAATCGCTGTTGGTAATGCGAGTGAAGAAACAGCCAAGGTCTACATTCAACTACCCGTTCTTAAGTAAATAACTAGGGGAGAGGGGGGGGGATGTATGAACAGTATATATGACAATGGGATGCACCTGTAAGACAGTCGAGAGTTTGCATTGACACTTCTATGTATTCATCATTCTACAGTTTCTTTTTCGATTTCAGTTTTTCATCATCTAATATGTTAACATATTAGATGATGAATCAACGTATTAAAAAATTATCTTTTCTACAGCGTCAAAAATTAGTCACACAGAGATTTGTACAGTTGAAGACAAAAAAGTGTAACTATTAAATAAGTCATGTTTTGTATAAATTGTAGAGATTCTTACGCTATATCTTGTGGTATATTTTGTTTTTCTATTAAAACATATTAGATGATGCAAAACTGAAATCGAAAAAGAAATTGTTTTGTTTTGTTCATGGGACAGTCTCACGAAAATGGAACATTTTTGTATATGTCGAAGAAATCTGAAATAATAAGCCAGCAAAATGGGACTCATATATATATCTGTGTAATTTAACTTATGGCCTATCCATGGATATGTAAATGAAGATATAATAATAAAATATAGAGGAGAACGAGCTATTAGAAAAAGGTACCTTTTTTGTCCGAGAGAGACTGCGCTGCGCCATGCAGTGCAATCACGCATATCAGTCCCGCGGTCTTTCTTCTCGTTCTTTTTTTTCAATGGTGTATATTGCTTTCTCTTTCATTCTCTCAGTTGTACACTATGTCGGTTGCTCGTTTACGTCTCATTTCGTACAGCGAAGGCAATTGAAAATATTCCACGTGCTTGATGCGAATTGAAACAACATGATAGATACTGACAATGGTGCATTCCTATCTGTGTAAATACTCGTACAAGAAGGATTAATCAGGTAAATTTGAACTTTTTTCCAATTTACGATAACAATTTTCTTTCTGCTAATCATGTGCTCCGTCTCTTATTCATACTGTTCCTGTTTATTTACTTCTACAGAAAGTATGATTCATTATGGCGACATCTACCAAATAATCAACTACTTTCGTGATTACTAGACATCGAATCAATACAAAAAAAAAACGGTAAATAGTCCATATGTTTACCCCACTAAATAGAAATGACTGTTAACTAAATTTGAATCTCAAAGGAACTGTAATGTTTAATATGGGGTGATTCTTTCGACAGAGTATGAGACTTAGAGGCGACTTCATGCGAGTCATACAAGACTTTCCGAACCATTTGGATAGAATTCATTATTGTAAGCATAGCTGTCAGATTGAAAAAAATTTACAATATTGGCTCAAAATTTAGAGGGCCATGGCAAAATCAGATTTCCTGAAAGAACTGAGTTATGGACTAGCTCATCTAATTTATCATAGAAAATTCAGAAACTCTTACTACGCATACTACTCGTTGAGCTGATTATTTTTTGTTACGAGCACTCTTTTCTCCCATGTTCTATTTTTTGGAAAGAGATCACTAAAAGTAGCAGTTTGTGACACTTGTTACATTTAGGATGGAGTGCAAAATTTACCATAAAATCAGCGAACTTCTCCACACGGGATTGTTTTGCTAAAAAATTCTTTCAATTTCGTTTTCACATATTCTTTACAATATCCAGTGAAAATTTTGATTATGAGCTTATTAATCTGATTCTTGCTAGAAAATATAATTTACTGTACGATAATCAGATTAAGATCAATTATAATCCTCTAAATGATTGAAAAAGTAACTCATTTTTTTTCAATTATAATCGATTATTTAAATATTATTCATATTTGTATTTAAAATATGCTGGTCATTTTATTAGTCAATTAAGATTTCCATCCGACCTCAATGTTAACAATTCATTTGAATTTAAAGTAGTCGATCAAGGAAATTAGAACCTGAGAGATGAAT